AGACACGAGGTCCTTTACTGGACGGGGTGTCTGTCGCTGAAGGCGAGGTGGCTTCGGTAGGCGATGGCTCAGCAGCATCGGCCTCGGCATCGGCCTTCCTCTTAGACCTCATGTACTTCTTCTCCCGGAGCTTTGGTCCCACGGCGTCCTGTGGCCAGGTGAAACTACATATTCACGATCGAAACTAGTGACGCTGACCGCATGCCGTGCATGTCGGACGCCTTCAGCTTGTTCATCCACTCCGAGCGGGCCCCCGAAGATTTCTTAACCTCTCTGATGACATGCATAGCCTCAAGTGGAAAAATCAAAGAGCTGAACACAACGGCATAGACCAGGTATGCTTTTAATTGCGACGAAGACACAAGACCCTTCAGAAGTGAAGCTTGCGTCTGCGCCAAGTCCGCAATCGCAGCCTCCTGGGCAGGATTGTTAACTAATATGTAACAATATAATGTTACGAACTGTAGAGCGTCTAAATTACAAGCGAGTCTCCCCATATTTCATCTTGATGCAGCAAGCCAGCTCATCGACGGATAGGACGCGCTCGGCTTCATTCAGGACAGGAAATGTCCTTGAATGAACCATACATACAACGAGTAAAGCCTGCATCTCCAGCACACACATATCTTAAAAGGCAGGGACTGCATGCATGCTGTCTGGGACACATCAAGAGCAGATTCAAGTTCGCCACCAGCAATTTGTTTCGCAATTTGGCGCCCATCGACTCCATGTCATAGCGGGTGTCCGTTTCAGGATCGAAGACCAGGAACTTATCCTGGAGGTGTGATCTACTATATACATATACGAATAACACACTAGACAAGCATGTGTGCACACACTAAGCCCAAACCAAGAATGCCGAACAATATATTGATGTTTCTCCTGTGTGGTTTCGATCGCCGTCCAGGCCCTCACACAGGTAGTGGCCAAACCAGTCTCTCTGAAGACCGCTATGGCTTTGGGCTCCACAGCCATGGCTAAGCAGTTGCTTTTGCAAGAGCTTCGAAGCTAGGCTACAGCAGGACGGGGGCGACGTACAAGTACTCAACCATCTCAGGTATACTGTGGCCTCTAGCTGTGCTGCATGGTTGCATACTCGATCATCGCGCATGCTCGAATGTTACAAAACCACGTCAAAGGAAACTTGGGCCTAGGTTGAATCTAGATACAGGCCGGTCGAATACATAATAATGCACATGTCCTCATCGAATATCTGACAGCATCATGCGAGTGGCACCGGTCAAAATATACATTGGGAAAATTTAGTATCGGATACATATGTACTATAGCAACGGCAATACGTAGAGGAGATACTGCTTAAGTACTAGAGTATTCTGACCGGACCACATACACGAATCCCGGAGAGGCATCCAACGCTGCACCTTCACCCCCAGAAGCCTCGTTGTCACATAGCACATGGCTCCTGAACTCCCGAATCAAAGCCGCTTCCAAGTAGGCAGCCGCCTCCATTGTCTTGGTAATGGCGATGATGTGCATACATACATACGTGCCTTGTCGAGCGTACCCGTAACCTTCGTTGAACCACCTGAACCCTGGATCTGAAGTGATCCCAACTTTAAACCTGGCCCCCTGAGCTGAAACACCAGCCACAACCGCAACACAATGCTGAAGGACGGCGGAAGCTAGTTTAGCCTTCGGTAGCTTAAGATCGAAATGATCGCCTACACTCTGGTTCAGGCCACGCATAACCTCGTGAAGCTTGGGAATGTCTAGCAAAGTTCGATCGCACTGTTCAACCTTCCAACGCCAGGCGTTGTGCGTCGCCTGCTGCCCAGAGATCAAACACCCAGCTGCGAGACCCTCCGCACGATCTAGTTTCCTCTTATTGCTTCCTGCACTACACAGCGCCGAGGCAGCTGGTTCTGGAGATAGTTCTGGGGGACATTCCAACTGTGGCGGATCGGTGCGTGTCGGGTCCAGCAAAAAACTGGCTAGCTTTTCTAGTCGACCTGTGCTGCTTTCCGACATTCCGAAGACGAGCAAACCAAGCTGTCACTCAACAACAAGACAGCACTCTATATATATATATACACACATATACATACAGCTGCATTATTTAACTATAGCCGAAACGGCCACCGGGAGCAAATGACGCCCAGACGATCGAGCATGATACATGCGGTCGCCTCGCATGCTTGCAGGCTGAAAAAGATCTAAAGATTCCTACCGGTGCTGCCGCTGGGTGGGTGTGGGTGTGGGTGTGGGTGTGGGTGTGGGTGTGGTGTGGGTGTGGGTGTGGGTGTGGGTGTGGGTGTGGGTGTGGGTGTGGGTGCGGGTGCGGGTGCGGGTGCGGGTGCGGGTGCGGGTGCGGGTGCGGGTGCAGGTGCGGGTGCGGGTGCGGGTGCGGGTGCGGGTGCGGGTGTGGGTGTGGGTGTGGGTGTACTACTATACTACGCAAAAATCGCATGCTCATATATATGTCCATGCACAAGCTTGCACACGTCATGCACACATATATGCGGCAACCATGCAATCCCTGCCAAATGCAAACGCTATACACAGCAGCCTAATAAAGAAAACCTTGACATGATCGGCTTCAATGGAAAAAATGTGGCCATGCTCCACACAATGCGTGCTGCGCACCTCTCTCTCGCTCGCACTATCTCTATCTCTCTATCTCTCTCTCTCTCTCTCTCTCTCTCCGCAGGCACCCACGGCCCGAACACAATCTGGCTCATTTTGCTAGGGAAAACCTAGATTTTCGCAACGCATCTGCTGGCAATCGCTGGAAAACATCATTCCACATATAGTAAAAAGCCATGCCGTGCACAAAAAGGCACGGTCCAGCGATGTGGGCCCTCCGAAGTACACTTTTATGGTTCCTAAGTACACTTTTATGTTTTGGGATCACGAAAGTACACTTTTCCCTGGCCTAAGTACACTTTTTTGAAAGGACAGAATCTAGACGGGCCAGCGTAACGCTCTTTTTCGGCCTTTCGGAAAAGCGTACTTAAGTACACTTTTTTGCCGCCTAAGTACACTTTTCCGAAAGGACGCGCCTGCAGGAGCCTGCGCCTCTAGCTCTGCCTCCATCTCCCAGCCCTCGAAGAGCACTCCCGCCTCTTCGGGTCTGCGGGACCCACGAAGGTACCTCCCCGGAGGGAGCCCCCGCGGTATCGTCCTCCCCTAGCGTGGGGATCTCGGTGGGACACGAGGCACTTAGCGGGGGCGGGGAATCCCCAACCACAGTAGCGCAGTCAACGGCTGTAGCTGCTGCACCATCTGGCGTGGTCGGCGCCAGGGTAGCGTCGCTGTCCGACATGGCAGCGCACCCAAAGCAGGGCTAATTAGCCCTGTTCCCCTTCCTACCCCCACTCGAAATTTGCCCCCCAATAGCTGGGGGCCTTTCAGCACAATGGCCACGGAGTAGCACTGCTTCACCGGCCATGTGCAGTCACTCTAGCAAACAGACAAGCTTCGTTCTGTTTAGCTTCAGAGGAAAACCCCTTCGACGTTTTCTAGCGAAACACCTCCGATGTTTCCCAAAGGGATACTAGCGCTAGCATACACTGTCGTACCTCGTCCCTCGGCACGAGTGCAAGGTGCATACCAAAAAAAATGACTGGTGAGTGACCACATTGCTCTCAAAAGCCCAGCTTCCCACATAGTGGGCATCGCAAGGGCTATCGCAAGAGTACAGCTGGCGGCAAGGCCGTCCAGCTGGGCCACCATGGACAACGTAGGTCCTCTGGCAAAACGTTCGGAACCACATTCTAATGGACGCCCTCCGGCAGAAGGTGTCCGGAACCTCGTTTGGCCATATGGCCGGATGGATTCTCTCTGGCAGAAAGTGTCCAGAACCTCGTTTTTCCATATGACAGCATGGCGGGTCTCGCAGAGGCAGCGCAAAAGGCGAGCTGCGCACTGCCCGTGCGGCAGAGTCAGGCCGTATTGGGCCACACTGGTCTTGCTATCGCAAGGGCCGAGACAGGAAGACAAAAGTGCACAGAGTAAAATCCCCCACAGAGAGGAGCATTCCAGAGCCGCAAACCTACCCTGCCCAGCTTCCCACCTGGGTGGGTCTCGCAAGGGCAAGGGCTAAGCAGAAAGTGAAGCACCCATATCGAGCGGGTTAAAAACCTGTAGCGGCGGCCGCAGACGCGTAAGCGGGAGATCGCCCATCGGTTCCATGGAGAAGTACGGCATCCCCCACAGCGCAGGACACGCAAAGGCCCAGGGCTGCGTTTATTTCCCTTTATGTGTCAACCGGGCGTTCATGTTCCATATATACAAAAGAGTATACATATAAAAATTCAGGATATGTCACTCTTCATCCGAATATATACTTCACAACTACTAAAAATTCGGCTCACACTAGCGGCTCGCTTTTTCTCGTGATTGGGGCATCGCAGTGCCTTGCCCTGGGCTCGGGCCCAGGGCGCTTGCTCCTTGTTCAGTCTCGACAATAGCACACGGATTTGTACAGAAAGTATAAGGATGCCACTTGCATCATTGCGAAACTTCGCAGCACAACTTGTGCTGATAACACCAGGGCGGGCTGGGTGGGACAAAACTTTTTCCCGGACTTATGCCGGATTTTTTTCTTACCCTCCCACCACCCTGTGGAGCCAACTGACGGCATAACAAAGATTCATTGAGATCCGCTCAACATGAACTGTCATGTTTCATGCAAAGAAAACTTTGATAAAAACTCACGCCCTAAATTTTTAGTTTGTTTGACAAACCAAAATTTTTGACACATGGGAAAATAAAGCTTCATCCGCTATTCGCGGAGTTGCGTCTTATTTCCCTTTATGTGTCAACCGGGCGTTCATGTTCCATATATACAAAAGAGTATACATATAAAAATTCAGGATATGTCACTCTTCATCCGAATATATACTTCACAACTACTAAAAATTCGGCTCACACTAGCGGCTCGCTTTTTCTCGTGATTGGGGCATCGCAGTGCCTTGCCCTGCCCCTGTCTTTGGCACTAAGAGCGCCCAAACTACTTGCCGCCGCACCACTTGTGCACATCACTTCAGTCGTGACTTCGACTCCTCAAGAAAGCTTTCAAAGAACTTTGCCGCAGGCCTAACACGCACGGGTGTCGGCAGGTTCCACACTCCTCTCGAAAGCGGATCCGAAGGATTACTTACAGAGGGAACTCGGTCGTACCAAATCATAAAGCCAAGGTTTTCCTCAATCTCACATACCGCATCGATGACATGCGATGCAAACTGACTCACTGTCCAGCACTTCACGAAGGCGCCGTGAACACCTTCGTTGTCAGTGAACACAACCACATTCTTGCCCTTAAGAGCTTTGAAGAAGAACTTCAGCGCAACATATACCGCCAAAGCCTCCAGCTCAAAGATGACAGTCTCTTTGACACGCTCAAAGGACGTCATGACTTGAGAAACAAGCGAAGCATCAAGGTTTTCACCGAACCATTGGAGCAAGGAGCCTTTATGGTCATATGCCATGCCCCCGATGCCACAAAGCTTGCCCTCATCGCTGAAGGATGCATCCACATACACATGCACGACATTGCCCAGTTGCCGACTAGTCAAGCGGCTTTGGTTTGACGAAACCAAACGCCTCAAGAAGCGACACGCCTCGGAAGTGACCTCGCAGAACCGACCTCCATGATGCCGGCTAAGCTGATGCAGAGCAACCTTCGCTCTTCGACCGAACAACTGGCCAGAAGCAAACTGCAGCCTACCTCGAAGTCTCTCGCAGTCAGAATGCGACAACCTGCCAGCCAACAATACCTCGTCCAAGGCAGCAGTCAACTCCAGCACACGCTTTTCGGTGTTCGCCAGCTTGAAGAGCCCCAGGCGAGCTTCAGCCATGTCAATCTTGATTCCAAGAACTTTACAGCACACGTCGTAAGGCAAAAGTTTATCTAGTGAAAGATCCCAACCTAGTAGCCGAAACAAAGTGCTGATAACGACTTCCACATGTCGGCGCTCCTCAGGCTTGCAGGCCGATAGGAAATCGTCAAAATAAAAACTCCAGACCAAGGCAAAAATTTTTACCCCCAACCGCCAAATCCCGAATGCACAACGGATAAAGGCAGTCACTGAGGCTTTTGCCCCGAAGGGCATGACCCGCTGCTTGTAGATGACGTGCTTGCGTGTGCGGGGGCAGAAGATTACGAAAAAGCTATCCTTTTCGAAACTTTTGTCACTGAGCGGCAGTTGCTTGTACGCGGCACTGAGGTCCCAACATTTGCACACCAGTCCCGCACGCAAGGACTTCAAAGGAGACAAGTGCAACCACATCGCCAACATGCCAGCAACTACGTCCAACGTGTGAACGGGCACTTGTTCACTTTGGGATACAACCGAATTTACAAGCGAACTCAAGTAATTATCGATTGGTCTAACTTTGGGACCTTCCTCGGTCTCTCCTTGAATCACTCCAAAGCGATGCGTGACCGTCCCATCACTAGGGATGTCGCTAGCACTCACCGGCCCCTCAATGAAGCCTTTGGCCAACTCCTTCTCCGTGGCTGCCAGCACGCCTTGATCCACGATCTCGTCCCCAGAACTTTTAACCGAAGCCAAAACCTGACCCCTAACTAAACCCGCACTTTTCCTAAGCGTTTCCTCGGCCATGGCTGCCGGGCGGTACTTATTCTTGAAGGCATTAGATCGGGGCAAGGGTCCGGTTAAGTCAAAACCGTTTGACAGATCAGAGATCAAGTCCTCGTCCTCGTGTCCCACACTGTCAAGCATTTCCTTCATCAAGAGCAGCCGCTTGTTGCACAACACTTGACGTCGATGGGAGCTGAAGGATCCCTTGAACTGACTTTCGGCAGTTTCCAGCTCCTCAGCGCGAGCAAGCCATTTCTTGAGCATCTCAGTTCGCTCGCGCCCAAGCGTAGCGACATCTTTGGAATGATTTGCCCGTATGGCCTCGACAAGCTCCGATGGCAAAAGGCTTTCCAAGTGACACGGATGTTGCACGCTCAACGCCCTCGCCACGAACTCCTCCGGTTCATGGTACACACCGAAAGTGATACTTCCTTTTTGTACTTTTGCGACCCTGGGAGGCACATCGCTAGAACCAGAAGAAGGGCCTAAGGGGAAACCCAATTTTTCTAAGAACCCTTTGTCGGCAGTCGCAAGTTTGGTCACTCCCACTGGGGTGTATGCAACGATTACTCCTCTGTCACCTCGCCACGGTTGAGTAGCATGCCAACGCTTCGGTTCAAAGATAAAGGGTCTCCCAACTGCCAAGTCGTGAAACCTCCCAGCACGTTGGGTTTTCTCGACGACCATTGCAATAGGTCCACCTGCCTCCTCGAGCCACAGTCCACCGCCAGCACAAGCGTGCATTGCCATGACCAGGTTTTTTGTTCCTGGCTCATTGTGCAAATCTCGATGGGCTTCTGCTCGCACATTGCACAGGTAGCCCACGGCAGAGAAGCAAAAACCCGGAGCATTATCGCGAACATGCTTGCAAAGCACGGCAGTGCACCAAGGCATATCCCGCGTCAAGTTTTTGCAGCCCGTCATGGGCCCATGAGCATAGGCTCCGCACAGAAACTGATTGGACTGGTCATCACAGCTCCCCCTGGCTCTGGTCTGATGTTTTTGCGGCAACATGTCCAAGAGAGTTTGCATCTCCTCTTGGCTGAAGCGAGTGTTCCACTGTAACATGATGCAGGCAAGCTTTTCAGCAGGGTGAGCATCCTCAGGCGGAGAATGCAGGTTCGAACATGTACGGTGAAGAAGACTGGCTGGCGGCGAGTCGTCTTGCCCGTCAGCCTGGCCTGCACTCAAGTCGTCTGAAGCATCCTCTGAACTTTCCCCCGGCACCGTGAGGATGCGAAGGACCTTGGAACCTTGTGGCACAGATGACACGAAGCACGGGTCAACGTTTGCAGATGCAGGTACCTCCCACGGTGCAGGGAGTTTGCAGCCTACTTGAAGACCATGCATAGACGCAGCAGGGAAGCTGCCACTGACGTTTACAACATGCTTGAACTCCGGAACCAGAGGAAGGACACGCTTGTTGCTTTGCCATCCAGCCACAGCTCTGGCCGCTGCAACTGTGGCTGTTGTCTGACTCAAGTCAGTAGGCAGAGGCTTGGCCCCCATGTCAAGCAGTTGATCTTGCAGAAGCTGTGACATAGCTTTGCACAAACCCCAAGGAAAATCCAAATCACGGTCGAACTTACAGCCCACACCCTTAGACCAAAACTTATGTACATGTCCACCGGCACATGGACGATGCAACTCCAAGAATTTTGGTAGAGAGTGCAGCATTCGCATAGCCTTCTTGAATGGCGAATCGAAGCTGCAAAGGTGAAAGTGCGTTGTGAAGAGAGGAACTTCCTGAAGCAAAAGTCGCAAAGGCTTGGTAGCCCACACGAAACTTGACTCTGGATTGCTGACGCTAGATAGCACTCCGCGCTCGTGACATGTTTTGCAAGCTGCAGCCACAGCACGCAGGTAAGCATTGGCATCACTCACTTTAGTACGATCGGTTAGCCCTAACCCTGGAACTCCATCAGGATGGGCTTCGTTCCGCAGGATTGCAGGGGCTCCTGCAAATTGACGCAACCTGGCACGGCTTGTAGTATTAGAGGGCGGATAAAAATGAACATACATCAAATTTTCTTCGGTCAAAATCTCCTGGAACTGCTTGCGACCCGACTCTGTACACAAGTCAACAACAATTCGCGGTGCACAGCACTTGCCGGCTGTTCTGTCAACGGAAAAACTGTTATCAAGCTGTCGCTGCTTGAGGCATGCAGTCAACCGCCCCGACCCCGGCGAGACCTCTAAGACGAGACATTCATCCAAGGAGACCCCTTTAACCCTAGCCATCACTTTTTGAAGATAAGACTCAGGCTCCGGTGCAGTCGAGGCGACTGGCTGTCACTTTCGATGCTTAGGCAACGGATGCGCCTTGAAGCAGTTTGGCTCGCAACACAGGTGCCAGCCACGCGGACACTCCTCACCGTCAGCAGCATTGGGACACCCATCAATGTTGTATGCCCAGCACAGCCTCTTTCCTTCGTTGGTCTCGCTGGCTTTCCCGACGAGCTGCTTCGGCATTTTGATGAATTTGGCCCCTTTAACTCCCGGCTGATCCTTGCCTTTGCCCTTGCCTTTGCCTTTGCCATTCTTTTTCCACTTGGTCGGCTCATCAGTCTTTTTGGCATCATCTGTCCATTTCCGCTTGTTATCATCGATTTCTCCACCCTTCAAAGGCAACAAGTGGAAGCTGATGCTGGGATCCTGAAGAACGTTCTCAAGGGCTCGATCCAAAGGCAAAGTCCCATCGGGCTGCCGCTTGATCGAGGGAAGGCTTTCAGCAATGCGTGTGAAAGCTGCCCTGTCTGCCCTGAGCACCTGTGCCACTGAAATCTTCACGTAAGTAGGAGGTGGCAACTCCTGCAACCGATGGATCAAGGACGAGTGATACCGATTCATGGTGTCATAACTGGCGCACTTGACTAGATCAAATGCTAAGGCTCGCCGCCTCAGAGCCTGCGTAAGCTCAAGTTCAGTCCCTGTTGTGCAGGTTTGATGAGGCACCTTGTCCCTCACCGTCACGCTGTTCCCGTCTATGGTAAGCTCCTTCCCTGGCTTCTTGCCCTGAAGTTCAGACTGTCTGGTCGGGAACCTGTCTGGCCCCAAGTAAGTCAAGGAATCTGAGGACAGCATGGCGTACACCAAGTCAAAAGAGGCATGGCTAGGCTCTTCTACTCCGCGATGCAAAAGGCCCGTGATCCTTGCACGCTGCTCTGTGATGCGCTCTTCCCTCTCGGCTGTGGCGAGCGTCGAAGGTGCTCCAGAGTCCCCCCTCTGAACTCGAGTTTTTAACTCTTGGACTACGAGGGTATGGGCCTCAAAGATAAGACGCTTTGCTGCAGCCATCGTCCCTGCCGTGATGGGCACAGCCCCGAAGAGCCGCTGTACCTGATCATCGCTCGGAGACTGGCCCGGCGGTACTGTTGCAAAAGCTAATTTGGAGAGCGTATCCACTCCGGTCCCCGTCATCGTGGCCACATTGGCTTGGGTCAAGCCAATCTCTTTCGCCCTTGACGCGAAAGCCGCCGTGGATTCCGTTAGCGAGCCCATGATCCCTCAGCAAGTCTCTCAGCAATGAACTACCGATCGGGAGACATGTCAAATCATGAAGCCACATGCCATGTTCACAAGGCACTCCTAACACGTATCTCCATCGTGTCCCTACTCTGTAAAAGCACTCACTAATGCTTGTTCACAAATCGTCTCCACTTGAGCAGAACTTCGAGCAATCACATGGCTCCTCAAGACCTTCGCACTCGCAAATGAACTTGACTTCCAGATGAACCTCATCTGTTCTTAAAGCGCACTTCGCTTTTCTTTCGCCCCACATGGACAAAATTCGATCACTGGTCTTTGCTTTTCATAATCTGTTGCAGCGCAGCATTCAAGCTGCCTACATCTCTAACCGGCCGACCCGAATCACATTGCTTGCACTTTCGCAACTCAAGGAACGGCACACCACTGACTTCCACATGATCATTAGTTAGGGCCCTTCCGCATATGAAAAGCCCATCTGAACTCCCAGCACTCATGAGATGCACAACGCCAGTCCTAGAGTGTTTGTACATGGTGGCCTCAGGCCTCCAGGTGCTAGGCTTGCTCGCTGGATGTCGGAAGTCTTCGCCCTTGACCCATTCGTCACCGGACTCAGGCTCCGACTCGCTCGAGCTGTCGCTCGATTCACTCTCGCAAACCTGTTCTCCGCAAGCTTCAGACCCCAATAAAGGAGTGGCAACAGCATCGACCTTCTCGAACGACTCAGTGGTCCTGCCTAACGATCCCTCCTCATCAGAAGCCCCAAACGCAGGCAAACTCGGTGATGCAGCCTCATCCTCTGATACTTCGACTTTCACAATCGGACGATCAGCAAACCGTCCCGATCTGCTCAAGTCAGGCATGAACACACCTCGCCTGATGCTTCCCAACATTTCTGTGTATTTCAAGAGGGCTGGCGCAAGGTTGTCGCGCCCGTAAGAATCTAAGGATCCGTCGCCTGAGCTATGATGTCCTAAGCGCAGGCGGGTATGCCTATCCATTCCAAACTTAGAGCACCAGCTTAAAGAAGTCCCTTTGATGGCATGCGAAGTCGACGACTCAGGCACATCACAGCCGGCCTTGTCAAGTAACGCACGCATCCACTTGGTGACCTCTCCCGAATCGACACATCGTCGAGTCCAGCCCCCCTTTTGATCAGGTGCAGGAAGCACGGGTCCTACTCGGGTGGAACTAAAACCCAAACCGACATCCTCTGCAACCTTGGCCCACGTCACAGCCCATGCTGAAGATGTAACTCCTCGCGCAGGTGCAACCAAAGGCATGCTGAAACCTGTATGCGCCACAGCATTGGCAGTCTTATGGTCTCGCGTCTTGCACTCGATGAACCCTTCGCCTCCACTTGCAAGTTCACTGAAGTCAAGAAACCAACTGAATGTTTTTCTCAAATCCGACACTCGGCTCCGAGAGAAGATCCCAAACAAGATGGCACCGCAGGCGTAACGATCAAAGCTGTTAACAGATTCATCTTCAAGCAAACGTTCCAGGGCTGCAACGTATGCCACAAGCAGAACTGTGGCCTGCTTCCGCTCTGCCTTGGTCAGCTGTGCCTGACCTATGACGCCTTTACTCCAATGGCTCCACACAGTGCTTTGCTTCGGTCCTATGACTGACTCGTCGACAGCAATGCCGACAACATGTATGGCGAAATTCACGCACTCCTGGAAACTGGTGAAGGCCCCGGCAGGCCTCTTCTCGCTCTTCAGGTGCTTCAAGTATCCATCCAGATGCGAGGACTTGAAAGGGAGCAGGTCACCGCCCCTGCATTCCTTTCGCCCCCATGAGAGGTATCCCATGAGGGCCGATCCCCTTTTCATGACTGTACTGCCACTCTTTCGCCCAAAGAGTTCACGCAAAGTTTCAATTGCGTCATCAGTCTTTTGGATGGCAACTGTTTCTCCGATATATGACGAACCAGGGCACTCAGTAAGTATAACCAGCCACTTCTCAAGAGCACGTCGCCATTGAGCCTCTTCCTTTTCCTCATAACTGTCGTAGGCCCTTGAAGAAATAGCAACCCTGAAACACTCCCCACTCTCAGGCATCTGTCGTGCGCGTTTTGCCGGTGGCTCGGCAACAAGGTCTGAAGGCTGAAGTGGAGTGGAGTGGAAGGACGACCTAGATCCGAAGATCTGGCCTAACGCAAACGGCATCACCTCCGGCCCGAGGGCTTAAGGATCAAACCGTCAGAAGAGAAGGGAAAGAACTACCCTGAAGCCCAGCTGCAGTGACCGGTTCCAGCTGGATGCATATGCTTGTCGTCTAAAGACAGGCTAGTCGGAAGCAAGACTAAGAGGACTGTGTTTTGTCATGCCCCGCGCAAGAGAAGCTGTCTGTCCGCTCCCTGCTGTTTGAGCGCACTGCCGGAGCGAACCAAGGCATCCGCCGCCACCGTCAGTTCCGCACGCAGGCTCGCGTCGTCAAGCACAACGGGCTGACAGAGGACGCGGAAGCTGCGCAACGCTTCTTCCAGGGATTTCCATTCTGGCGAGAGCCACCTGCGAAGGTGACGCCGGAGGCGTTGCCGAAAAGTGGATGCCACCTTGCTGCTGTGCAAACCAGCTCCTGGGGAGCAGCGACCGCGGAGGTCAACCACCAATGCGGTTAAGGCAGAGGGCGTCTCTAGCCCCGCTTGTCGCCAAGGAAGTGCCGCCCGCGCCCGCATCCAGGCCCAGTGACAGTCTGGGCACAGTATCACCGGGGCCTCCGCTGGGGGGAGAAAAAGCCGGTTGGCTCCCCTGTTCCAAGCACATGCCCCACGGAAATGTAATGCACAGCCACACGCTTGGCAATGTACTGCCGAGTCCTGGCGACACCACGGGCACATGCGAGCTGGAACTGCAGGTTGCATCTGGGCTCCACGACAGGTGATGCAGCACGAGATGAGAGGGGCAGGCAGTAAGCGCGGGCATTGACAAACCTGTGAAAGCTGCACCCGTGCCAATTCCCAAGGCAGACCATCGACCATCCAGGAAAGCTTGTCCCGCTGAGTGGAGGGAACACCAGCAGCAAGCAACATGTTGCGAAGCCTAGCATCAGAAGGCCGATACCCTGGTATACGACAGGCTCCACGAAGTCTGGCAAGGGCGACTTCCACTGGAGGGGCAAGCCAGCGCAGCTCTCTGAGTACCCCCAATCCTGCAGATGAGGCAAACCAGTCCAGGAATGCATCAGGGGCCGGGGCCTGTAGCATCCGCCCAGGCAGCGATGCGCTTGAGGTATTCAGCACGTAGAAATAGCAAGCGAAGGACGCTAACCCCCGCCCCAGCGACGGATGTAAGCTTGCTGAGGCTGCGCGCTACATCCTCCGAAGCGCCATGCATGTCTCGGGAGGAACTAAAGGACTCATCAGCCAGGGGGTCCGGATCGTCAGGCTCGTCATTGGAAGCTGCAGTGGCTGTACGTGTGATGAAGCGTCCCAATGCAGCTGGAAGGACTCCACGATAGGCCAGATCAGTACCAGATTCCATCCGAGTGGGTACTGCACTACTCCCGGCTGCATCCGCGGCAAAATCCGCGATTTCGGTTCGCATGGGCACTAGCCACCTCCAAGCAGTCAGGATGGGCCAGCGCGTGGCGTCTTCCGGGGTGGGGGACTTGGGGGAGGCAGGCAGGCGTCTAGCGGCTTCAAGGGAGTGCTGTGCAGCACTACCGAAGCGAACAAGCTCAGCTTCGACATCGTCCAGGAAGTGGTGGACCATAGGGCGCATGGCAGGGCATGACATAACCACGTGGCGAGGTGTTCCAGCGAGCTGTAGGCATAGCGGGCACGTTCTGGCAGAGGTGTTGGCAAAGTCGGCCCAGCAAAGAGCTAGCTTCTGCAACCTCGTATCGGAGTGCAGTCTTTCTGTCCAGCCACCGCCAATGGCACGCAAGCATCTGTAGGCGAAAGCGGAAAGATCCACAGTGCGGCGATCGCTGGGTAGGAGCCAACGTGCCCAGTGGTTGGGCACTGTAAAGGAAACATACAACCGCAAGTCCAGTCCTGGCAGAAAGGCACCGGAAACTGAAGCAATCTTACCCTGTACAGGGCGAAGTTTCCATTTGTCCTTTGCCTCTTGGCGGAGGAGTTTGCGAGTGAAGTTGCGGCAAGTGTCCGTGACCGCTCGCCCCTTGTATGAGAGTTGGAATGCTAAGCCACTGGAGGGCCACCAAACATCCGGCGGCTGCGGCAGACGGTAGGCGTGACGACAACCTTCGTCTTGTCTCTCATTGCCCTCCACGATGACGGGCGCCGGGGCAGTGGTATTGGCTTGATGACTGCGAACATGAACACCAACGAGGCCAAAATCGAGAAAAGGGATACTGCAAAGCGACGCCGAACGGCCTTGTACATTGCCCTGAACGTGCCAGGTCTCGGGAGCAGTGAGCTGATGCGCTCTCCAGAGCGGCGTAGGGGCATGATCCCGCCAGGCACTTGAAAGTTCCCCGGTGACCGTGTGTACCCGGGATACCAAATGAAGGCATGGGGAGGAAAGGATTCTGTTCTGTTTGTGGGCATTTTGCTGCAATAAGGGGAACAGTGAGGCTCTATCCAGTACTAGGAGGTTCCAAGCACCAGGACGACGCCAACGGAGAGCAGCAAGCATGGCCAATAGCTCAGCAGTGTGGACCGTGGTGTGCTCCCAACCGTACCTAGCAGGGAGTCGCACTGCCAGTTGTGGGCCTGCTGCCGAAGCCGTGTTCCAGTAATGAGGACCCGCGAAGGCTCTCGCCTGGCATGCAGCCACGGTGGCTTCTCCGTTGGCCCCGCCGTCCGCAAAAAGGCCAATATCGACGTTGGGTAGAATCTGCTGTTTGCTATCCAGGTGTTGGCTTCGCAGGTCATTACTGGGGTCTTGTGGATGCTCCCAGGCTGCCGCAGACCAGTCTTCAGCAATCGGCAAATGATGCACCCCGAAGAGCTCACACTCAAGGGCCCAGTCGGCACAGGAACGTGCCAGGCTCGCAGTAGTAGCAGCAGCACATTGCTGCGGTGAGGCCGGACAATTCGCCGGCAGGTGAAACCAATGTGCAGGGTCTCCCCATTCAGTGTCCGCAATCCCATTGTTGCGGAAATGGAGCAGACAGGAACGGACAGCGTTAGCAAGGCGACCCACTCTGCAATAGGGCAACATGTTGGTATGCTTGCGTTGTTCGAAAGGTCCGATGAGGCCAGGAGGTCGGTGCTCCTGCAAATCTGCTAGATGGTCAAGAATTCTGCAAACAGTGCGATCCATACTCGAGTTGACAAAGATACCGTAGCCAGCTAGATGTCGCAGTGCACGTACAATCATGTAGTCGCATTGCTCTGCCGCCTCCGGCGCCATGGACATCGCCTCTTTTAAAGCGTCCCTAGCTAATTGTCCAGCCGGGGACAGAGAGGACAGCAATCGCATAACTTCTGCCGCCACCGATGCCAATGATCCCTCCACCGCCGAGAACAACTGCAGGCCCCCAACGGACCGCGCTGCCAAGAGCCCCACACGCTCCGCCGATGAACGTACATGAAGCGCACGAAGGAGATGTTGTTGAACCGCAGAATCGTGTCTGTGTAGAGCTTGCGGATGGGGCATCCCCACCAAAGGAGCGTAGTTGAGGTACCCTGCTGCATATACTTGGGCTCCCAATATTAGCTCATCCCAACTGAAACGCCGCGCTGAGAATCCTTGTAGGAGCTTGTCCAGTTTAAGCAGGATGTCTTCCGCCGCTGCCGAGTGACGATCCAGAAAAGTGCCCCTTTTTCCCAAAAGGAGCTCTTCATCTGTGTCCCTGGCTCTGGGCAGAGTGGTGACGAGTTCCGCTCCTGCCCAAATGTCGGGGAAATGCAGAGAGAACCGGCATCCCACATGCCGTTGATTGCAGCGTTGTGTGCGGAGGCTCCATCGATACGGGTTTCTGTCAAAGCAGCAATGTCTGCTCCAAGATCCGACATGGCCTCCGCCCACCACGCTCCCCAGGCATACCTGTCCCTCCCAATGCCACCAGTTTGCAAAGCTGCCAGACGAGAGACCTGACTGCCCTTCCACGAGCAGTCGTGACCAAGTGGGATACCAGTGAGCCGTGGGAGGACTGTGATGCTACCCACCGCTGCCTCCAGTCTATCCGGAAGCGGCTCATCATTGTCAGCATCGGCCGGCTCCATCATGACCAAAGCCGGGGGGAAACTAGCTAAGTCTCCGGCAGGCGAAAAGAGGAGACGGCGGCGAAGCAAAGCGGCAGCTGCAAGAGGGTGCAGACAAGGGCAGCAGAACATAGGACGCAAAAGAAGCCAAACGAACGCTTTAAGACAGCGGATGATGAGCGAGCAGTCGCTGCGGCCAGCGGCCATGGGCCCAACCAGGCCGCGGAACATCGCAGGGCGATCAAGGATGAAAGCAACCAAAAATCAGGAACTGTACACCCGACAGGAGACCAGCACAACGCTAGACTGAAGGGAAATTAAACGAAAGGATATTGTCATTGCACTCCGGGCATCGGCACTCCGCATCATTTGCCGAGTAAATTGAGTCCATCTGTTCTACGCGTGCAAGCCAACGCTCAAGACAGGCAGCATGTACAGCATGTAGGCACAGCGTGATGGCCACCTCCTCCCCATGTCCAAAAGGCGACCTGCACACTGCACATTCACCATTGCGTGGCACTGCAGGGACATGTGCGAGGGCAACTCCGCGTGACTGACCCCGCAGGACCACTGAGATCTGACGGTCCCTGATGGCCTGTGCACCGTCAGCAATGTCAACCGAACGATGCGTGTCTGTTGCTCGTTCAGCAGTATCAGCAAGATGACCAGCAGGAGGTGGAGTTGGTCTTGGAGTGGCACCTGTTGCTGGCTCGGCTGCACCAATGCTTGAATTGGAGTTCTCCGGGTGGGAAGATGTTTCCATATGCTCTGGCTGGGCTGGGAGAGGATTGCTGATGTTCCGCACCGCTCGGGGCACTTCCGGGAGGGCTCGTTGGGCCAAGCTCAACCTGACCGTACCATGTGGGGTTTGTAGCGATAAGGAGCGGGAACTGCCCGACCAGCTCCTGCATCACCATCCTCACGGTCGGGACCTCCGCAAATTGCGGATGCGCCAGCATTGTAGTGATCCCATGTTGCGCTGCACCCGGTGGGATCTGAACGATGTCGGCTGCCAGGTTGGCAAGGGTGGTGGACATTTGAAAGACGGCATTGAGGGCAAGAGCCGATTCTTCCAGTCGGATACCTCGAACAAGAAACCCTACGGGTGGTGCGGAGTTGGAAGGGCTTGGTGCCGGCGTTAGAGACGGGGGGGGCGGGTTGGAGGAAGTGGTGCCATGGCCGCGTCCTCGTCCGCGACCTCTGCCAGTTCGGGTGGTGCCCGGAATGGTGGGAGTCTGTCCTCGACGGCGGCTTGATACTGGGGGTCGGTCCTCACGATGATGCACAGCTCGGCGTTGACCTGTGCTAGCTCTCGAAGTACGACGTAAGGGTGTTTTGGAACGGGAGGAGGCGCGTTGTGTGTGACGGCGTCGTGGCTGGGAGTCCGGATGGGCTGTACGCGAGTAGTAACCGGGCACACCAGGCTCCGACCGGGAAGACCCGAGACCGACCACCCCAGTCCTGACCAGCTCCTGCGTAGCCTTGGCTAGAGCCGCGCTGCCTGCGCGTAGGCCGGGGACTGTCCCCGAAGCGTGCCACTCCAGGGCTTGCTGCTCTGCGACCACCGCGTGCACCAGACGCGAACCCAGAGTGTGATCCTGATCGGCGTTCATCGAAGGAATCTCCAAGTACTGGGGCGAAACCGTCCTCAAGGGCTCGTTCGGCGAGTGCCAAGCCGAGTCGAAGGGCTCGTGCTGGTAGATCCATGATTGTGGGAAGGGCCGTATGGAGTGCGCGAAGATCTACTTGAATGCCTGGGGTACGCCACAGCGAGAAGGTTGAAGTTGCAAGCGAATATTCTGCTGATGGGATGCAGAGCTGCACTGTTGACATCACAATTGCAAAAGACGCCGTCCTAATGCACTCAGCCCTCAATGGCTAGCTTGCTTTTCCTGCGCATCCCGCTTCGGAGCTTCTGTCTTGTAATGACAGCAGCAACGCCGAGTGAACAGCATTCCTGTCCTAGGACAGCCCGATAACCGCCAGTGTTGATTTCACAGTCGCGACGTTCTTACGAGAGTGCTCGGTTGACTAGCCTAAAGGCCGCGGCCCCGGCACTCTGCGTGTCCGTGTTGCAATGACAACATCTGCTCTGAATGACTGGCCTTCCTTGTCTAGGACCGCCCGTAACCGCCAGTTTGATCTCACACTAGCGACGTCCTTGCGAGAGTGCTCGGTTGACTAGCCAAAAGGCCGCGGCCCCGGCACTCTCATGGAAGCACTGAACGGCTATTCGCGATAACAACATGAATGAAAAAAAATATATAAAGAAATAAATATATGCCGCGTAGGGGTAGGGGTCTGTCTTGCAGCCCCACAGTGCTGCTGCTCACAACGGAGTACTGCAGAGTGAGCTCATCAGATGAAAAGTTGCGCAAGCAGTGTGACATGTTCAATTGCCGCTGTAGAGAACACTCCGCCAGCTGGTGCTATTTTCCCCGCAGCGAATCACATGGCCTGAAGACGATTGCGACTGCATGCACCACATCGGAACAAGATCATTTGAGCCTGCTGAACAGTGTTCAATGTTGGTGACGAGCGTTGATTGTTGGAACCAAAAACTCATGATGCTCAGGGCTTAGGCGTTGCGAACTGCTCTACGGCAGGCTCTGTCAGGTAGTCTGCCACTGCCGTTTTACTCTGCGGAAGTATCTCGCTTGCTTCCTTCTTTACGTAGAGACGGACGACGGTCTCGTGCTGCAGTTTCATAGCACAGCCACCGCCTTGCAGACATCGCTGGTTCTTCTGACCGCGGTTCAAGGCCAGCAAAAGAAGCCAGCCCAAAACATATTGAAAACAAAAATATAAAAAAAAAAAAAAGGAGAGAGGACAACAAGGCGGACAAAGCAACAACACCACGAACGAACAAAGAGCGACGAAGCCGAGCCGAGCGTGCAAACGACGACAGCGGGAGGAAGGCGTGGCCACAGGCACACGCGTCCAACCCCCCGCTGCAGAAGACCTAAGTACGCAGGGCACGAGCGGCGACGCGGACCACGAGCGCGCGACGGCAGCGGGGGGAGGGCGTGGCCCAAGGCACACGCATCCAACCCCCCGCTGGCAAGACCTAAGTAAGCAGGACGAGCGGCGCGAAGCAAAAACGGCGAACGCGCGACGACAGCGGGAGGAAGGCGTGGCCACAGGCGCACGCGTCCAACCCCCCGCTGCAGGAGACCTGAGTACGCAGGACGCGGACGGCGACGCGGACGACGAACGCGCGACGACAGCGGGGGGAGGGCGTGGCCCAAGGCACACGCAACCAAACCCCCCGCTGGCAAAGACCTAAGGAAGCAGGACGAGCGGCGCGAAGCGAAACGACGAACACGCAACGACAGCGGGAGGAAGGCGTGGCCGCAGGCACACGCGTTCAACCCCCCGCTGCAGACCTGAGTACGCGGGGCAAGTACGCCGGAAGTTAAGCTTGATCCAACAGCCCAGCCATAGTGCAGTTTGCGCAACCAGGCAAGGTCCGCGCTCTAATGTCCGCTTGCTGCCCACGCGACCTACGGCCGCTCTTCCGAATACTCAGTATCTGTTGCTTCAGGCTACGTGCTCTGAGGATCTGCTCCCGGGTAGGTGCCCGCTGTAGCATGTACCGTGGTACAGTGCCCCACAGCACCCGAGTATTGGTTGTGAGCCTGGAGACACTGCCGCCTCTGACCAAAAGATCCGAAACAATGACGCTTCCTGCTCCAAAAGCTTTGTGTGCCCGTCCGGGCACTTGAAACTCCAAAGCCCCGCTAAGAATGATCCACACCGAAAAAACTGCAGTGTTGCAGGCCAGCTGGTGGTGAAGGGGCCACTGAGCACCAACTAGGAGAAGCGTGGTAAGCGGGCCCCAAAGGTGCAATGTTGACTTGACTTTGCTCCGTGCTGCCTTGTACAGGTGGGCAGCTAGGTCTTTGATAAACACCCTGGAAAGGGTCGCAAAAATGGTGGCATCTTGCGTTCGGAGGCGTAAGCCTCGAGCGGTCCATCCAAGGACTCTGTCCGGGCCCGTGCATGACAGGTACAGATCGTGCAGCACCTTGTTGTCAATCTGACTCCATTGCAGAGAGGGAAGGCGTAACTTCCGGGGGCCTTGGCTTTGGATTGGCGGGGAACCCGCCAATGTGTCGCAAGTGCGAATCGATAATCCCACGCCTGGCGCATTACGTTGCTCTCTAACCTGCTCCAAGAGGTCTCGAACCTTCTCGCCACCATCAGAGGCGACCCACTGCGATTCCCACAGATTGACGAAAACACCTTCCTGTTGAATGAGCACGAGATCCGGCAGTTGGTATCCAAAAGATGTGTTACCTGGCGCGAGGAAGTTCGTCATCCACAAGGGCCATGGTGACACCTTGTGTACTGGCAGGAGACAAGGCTGAAGAGCATGCTGCACAATGTAGTCGTGCAGGAATTCCGTGTTGCTCAGCCACAAAGAATGGTTTCTGTCCCTGGCAATACTGTTGCGGCCGGCTACCCATTGTTGTAATTTTTTGTTCCAATAACGGTGAAGCGTCAAGGCCCAGTTGGCAAAGCAGTCTGAGCCTCTTGGCCCCGCCAGTAGGCCCACATTGAGGCGCACTGTTCGCCCTAAGATGGTGAATCTCCGCCTGGGTAATCGCTGAGGTGGCAAGAGCTTAATTGGCTCAGTTCCAAAGGCCAAGCCGTCCACAAGCGGCAATGGATTCCCTAGCCAGATGTAATCCAGATCTAGAAACAGGCCGCCTTCCTGATATATGGCTAGAGCCGCGATCCAGTCTTTCAAAAGACAAAGATGCAATCCTGCGGAGACTAGAGCCGAAGCTATGTCGTAATCCAAAAGAAGGCCAGCGTTGCGAACTGTAAGACCAGGTACTGTTTCCGCCAATGAGGCAACTGAGTCCATATCAAAGGTCCACAGTATCTGTGGTCGCGGACTGATGCATCGCAAGGATTGAATGGCGGTAGGTGAGACTGAGAGCCCTCCTGTATGCCACCAGAATCTGTGCACCACTGAGGGTAGCATCGGCTCTGAGGCTTCTGTAAGTACACTAACTGCAAAGCAACGCTCGAGGACAGAAGCCGACGGAAGTCGAAAAGGGAAGAGAGCAAAAAAAAAAAAAAAGAGAGAGAGAGAGAGAGAGAGAGAGAGAGAGAGAGAGAGAGAGAGAGAGAGAGAGAGAGAGAGACGAGCCGGCCAGGCTGAAAAGGGACGAGGCGAACAGCGGGGAAGAGAAAGG